ACATATTGAGACTATGTTTCAGTCAGGGTTTGATTACTTCTCCTATAAGATAGTTCTCATTTCCAAGCCTGGGCATGTTGAGTGGCAGGGATGATGTTTAAGGCATTTAGCTGCATGTGATGCTGTGTTAATGTCATTGTGGTGTGATTGCAGTTGGGCACCTCTTCGTAGGGACAACAGGATCCCCCGAGAAACTGGTCAAACAGAAGCACTGACTCAGAGACACTGAGTCAGAATCTCTCAGGGTGGAGAGGGTGCTTCTGCAAAGATCCTGATGCCCAAGCCTTAGGAATTTCTCTTGGTCAGACACTGAGGAGAACAGACCACCCATGAGTTGCTACATTCATTCTGTGCTTGGGAATTGGCATGCCTCATTTTATTCCATCTTGCAAAGTAACTCTATAAAGCAGAGCACTCAGATCTTCTGGGTGAAGATCTGCAAGTTTAGAGTGGGACAGTCAGAACCCTTGGTGTGGCCAGAGCTGAGGTGTGCTTCCTGGTCTACCATAGAGCACCCTCCTGCGCCCTTCTCTGAGGTCCTCTCTCTCTGCTGCTGTTATGATCTGTTGGTCTCTAAGCTTTGCTTGCCCTGGAGATGTGGGCATGGTAAAGGAAAGCAACTGGCATTTGTTGTAACCTCAAACTACAAATGCAGAGTAAGTTTGGAATAAATTGTATCCTTGTATTTCAATTGTATTTCAAAAGGTTTACTACTCAGAGCTTGAGTCACAGATGCTTGATTGTATTGTTGTTCACAGGGTCTCTCCTCACCACATTTTCCAACCTCCCACATATTCCTTTTTATTTTAAATTGCTCATGGATTCCAAAGTGTATTCCTGAGTTTAGGATGTCCCATCTCCATAACACCTGGGGAAAAATCTCCTCATGTGATTCCATAGACCAGGACCCTTCATGTGTGAGCCTTGGTTGATAGACATCCTCCTTCTTGAGCAGTGTTAGGTGAGAAGGGGGGAGCTCAGGGTGGTGTGGCTGTACACGCTGGGCAGTTTAGTGGCCTGTTTCCACATGACTGTTCCTTCTTGGCAGAGATGTGGCATGGAAAATTCTGGTGAGTCTTGGAAGGAAAGCTAGACATTAGAAGTTCTGGGATTTTAGGTCAGAGCTGGAGGGAACACTGTTTATAACTCATGTCCACCTGTGGCCCAGAGAAACTATTCTTGACTTGGTTCTGACAACTAGTTAGTTGTAGAAGGTGGAGGGTCTAGTTCTCCAAGTTCAGTGAGCTGTCTCCTGTGGTGGACTGTGCTTTGCAACAGATAGGGAGGCAGAAGCTCAGAGAGGGGAAATGTCTTCCCCAGAGCACAGAGCCAGTGAGTGGTGGGGCTTGGATTCAGATGTACATTTGTCTGATGGCAGAGACGGGTTCTAACCACCAAACCCTCTTGTCTCAGAGACTGTGAAACGCAGGTTCTGAACAAATTTCCATTGTGCTAATGGTAGTGCTAATGCTGGCGCTAAACAGTTCTAAGACACTATGTAACATGTGTTCTTTCTATTACAGTGTAGTTATATATTTTCATGAAAGCATTCACATCCTCCAAATAGTAAATCAAAAGTCCCTGAATTATTTACTTTGTGTATATTCACATGTAGTATATATAAATGCAAGGAAGGTTTTATTTTTCTCTGCAGCTTAGTTTAAAGTGCTACCATTTTATTTCTGTAGTACTTAATTTAAAAATAAATATTTCATACTATATTGTAATGATGAAAATTTATTCCTTTAATTTCATGAACTCCAACTTTGCAGTAAATGCACTTAATTAGAACACCCCTACCCTTGTAGGCTTAGCGTCTAGTTCTTTCTAACATCTGTTGACATATGGCCTAGAAAGTGGTTACATTATGCTTTAGGAATGATTTTTTCTAGACATAGAAAAGTTAAAAGACTTGTCTGAGTTTCAAGGGAGTTGACAGAACCAAAAATACAAACTTTTCTACCATAGACTAGACTCACTAAAATTATTAACATGGAGACCATCTGTATTCACTTACCAATCTAAAGTCCGGAGCTGGGACCATCAGCCTGTTTGACAGAGAAATGTTTCTGTTGCGGGGGTGTGAGGTGGGTGGGCAGGGAAAGGCGTAGGGAGGGCTGACATGATTGTTTCTAGGTCATTTGCAGCCATGCTATTATAATACTGTTTTCTAGGTGGCAGATAATGTGCTCATTAAAGTGAACGTGTTCATTTTAAAATAAAGCAATAGGAACTCAGAAATGACTCTGTTACATAGATAAATGAACATACATAAATGGACTCAATTTTTGTTTTTCATGCTCTGTCATACTCTGTATGAAGGCAAAGGAGTAGGCAAATAAGTAGTTTAAAAATGAAACAGTATGTTGTTCATTTGATTTTAGAAGTCACTGATTAGAATAATAATATATGTTTTATGTAGTGCTTTATGCATAGAAATTCCCATATTATGGTGTGTACAGATAACAGAGCGATGTTCTTTGTCACTTCTTGTAATATAACTTTTAAGATATTTCCTAATTTACAAATGATGAAGAAAGCAAGTGACATTATTCAAATGGATCTTTTGGACAATTAAATGATTAGCATAAATTGCAGATTCTTGTCTCTTTCCCATCTTCTGCCCAAATTTGTTTTTATGAAATGACCTTTGATACTAACTTATCTTCTAATAAAATGTTTCCTGAGTTTTTATTTTAAATTGAAATGGCCTTTTCTGTCAAGTATGGTATTTATAAAAGTTTCTTTGATGAAAAGCCTATGAGTTTTGTGCAAATAACCCAGGCTGGCTCTTAGATTAGTGATAACATTTGTGTAGGACTTTTATGGCTTCATATGATACTTTTACACTCAGCTATTGGATCCTGACCTCTGAGTACTCAGTGGAATTCACCTTTGCTGCTGAGAATGATGCAGAGGAAGGTGCCTTGTCACGATCCTGTGCACACAGCAGACATCCAGCATGTTCACTTTAAAAGAAGAAAGTTCAAATCTTGGTGTGTACAGGTTATTTAAAATGCTTGAGGTACCATGGAAAACATATGTCACACCAAACATTGAATTTGCTTCTTTCCTCAAAATTCCTATGTTGTCATTGTCTCTCATTATCTTTTTAGGCTTTTGAAATGTCAAACTGAAAATATTTTTTTCCTAATAGAGGTAAGACTCATATAGCATAAAATTAACCATTGAAAGTGCATATTTCAGTGGCATTTAATGTATGCACAATGTTCTGCATTCATCATCCTTATCTACTGTTATCCTACTCAAAGGAGACCCCTTTCCATTAGACAGTCATCTCAATCCCCTCCTCTTACAAGCTGTTGGTAACTACCAATCTGCTTTTCATTCCTATGGATGTTACCTATTCTAGATAATTTCATATAAGTGAAATCATACAGTATGATTGTTATCATACAATTCATGCTAATCATGTAACACATATTATCATAGTCTATCGGGATTGCTATAATGAAACACCCCATTTGTTTGTGATCAATAGAAATTTATTCTCTCAGTTCTGGAGATTGGGGAGTTGGAGTTCAAGTTCCGGACAGATTTGGTGACTAGTGAGAAACTTCTTTCTGGTTCATAAATGGGTTTCTTCTCATTGGTCCCCACCTGGCAGAATGGAGCTCTCTGGACTCCTTTAGGGCACTAATTACCTCCAATATTTCACCCCCTAATGACATCACATAAATTTTGATAGGACATAAACATTCAGTCCATTGCAGTGCACTTTTGTGTCTGGTTTCTTTAAACTTAGCATATTTTTTTTCCAAGTTAGTCTATATTGTGGTATGTATCATGTGTCATTTCTTATGGCTGAATTATATTCCATTATAGGGATAGATCATATTTTGTTTGTTTGCTAAACATTGAACTGTTTCCATATTTTAACTTCCTTAAATAGTATAGCTATGACCGTCCAGGTTCAACTGTTTGTTCCAATACCTGTTTTTAGTATACACCTTTGGGTATATACTTAGGAGTGCAATTGCCAGGAATTGTGGTAATTTTATGTTTAACTTTTTGAGTAAACACTAAACTTTTCCATGATGACTATACTATCTTACATTCCTACCAGCAGTGCATAGCATTCTAATTTCCCTCCATCCTTGCCAATGCTTGTTATTTGAGTTTTAAAACTTTATTATAACCACCCTACTGAGTATAATGTGCTACCTGCTTGTAACTTTAATTTGTATTTTCCTGATAAATTATTCATATCTTAATGCATAGAATTAATAAAAAAAATGAGCTTTGAAGGCCCTCCCTGGTGGTGCAGCAGGTTAAAGCATAGCACTAAGAAGCTAAAGCCATTTTAGCATGAGTTTGATCCTTGACTGCCCCGGAGGTGACCCACATGGCGAGGCAGACCTCTCCTGACCTGCCCGCTGCTCTCCTCAGCAGTGTACTTCGTCAATCTGCCTGTCCTGCTCCCCACTCTGACTCTGGTGAATCCTCTCACTGCCCCTACGCCTCTGGCCTATACCCCAGTTCTGTAGGCATAAATAAATAAATCTTAAAAAAAATGAGCTTTGATCAGAAAAAATCAGCATCAAAATGATTGGCTTCAACATTGGTTAAGAGATTCTTTAGAACCGGCAGGCTGGGGTATAGGCCAGAGGCGTAGGGGCAGTGAGAGGATTCACCAGAGTCAGAGTGGGGAGCAGGACAGGCAGATTGACGAAGTACACTGCTGAGGAGAGCAGCGGGCAGGTCAGGAGAGGTCTGCCATGCCATGTCTCTGACCCCTAAGGTACATGTCTCTGACCTTAACACAAAGAACATGCAGCTTTGAGGTTAGAAAATGTAAATTACACCACAATCATTTTCTAACTTTTTCAAATGCTACCTACATTCATGAGGACAACTAAGAAATGACACCATGTTTTAGTTTCATGACACCTGTAAAAAGATACTTAGTTCTTTACATTTCAAAACTTTCTTTGTTTATTTTTTTTATGTCTTAATGACCTATTCATTTATTTTTGCAGGGTGAGTGAAGATACTCAGGATGGCTCAGGGACCTGGGGATCCAAAAGCAGTGGGGACTGCCGACCCAGAGGACAACTCTCCAAATATGATAGTCTACCGCAAAGTAAGGCACCTGCTTCCATGCTACCAGCATGTGTGCTGTGTTCTGTGTGCATGTGTGCTGATGCTGACAGCTCAAAACATGTATTCTTCCTTGACTTCTAAGTGAAATTAATTTTCTTCTCATATCTTCTTATTCTCCAATCCTAAAATTGAAGGATGTTAGCTTTTGCTATATTTGGTTTTGAATGCCTGAAAATATCATGTTGTTTAATTTTCTTTAAATGCTGCCTAATAGCCTTATATAGTTGGGGACATACGCTTGCAGGTGTGTCTTCTGTGGTTGTCATGGCCTTAGTGTAGCATTTATGAATCGAATGTTCTTCACAGTGTACACTAGATCTGGTGTACTAGAATGCTCTTCACAGTGTACATAGGTCTCACTGTTGGCAGGAGATATAGGAGACACAAATGGCTGCAGTAGAATCTGAGAATTTCCAAAAGTGATGTGAAAGAAGTGTTACATATGTTCATAGCACTTCCCATCTTGGGTTATTTCCCACCTGAGATCTCTAGACTCCATGTTAAAGGATCAGAAAGATTGCTTTATATGAAACTCAGAAACAAAGAACAGCATTGTAGGAGCAACATAGCCTGCAAAGGCAAAGAGCTAAAGAAAGTGAAGACAGCAACCTGAACCTGTTATCTTGAGCATAGAATGAAATACTAGGAGCAAATGGAGATAAGATTTTGGAAAGAGCAACTGGATGGAGTTAGATTTTAACATAGTCAATACAGGCAATATAATGAAAAGCATTTGTGCCAGGAATTAGAGAAACAAAATTTCTTGGGGATTCTTAACCCATTCTGTCAAACGTATTGTTTCCAGGACAGATTGGCCACTCTGGGGAGATGGGCCTTTATGAGAAAAGTAAGAAGGACATTTATCTAGCAGAGGGAATTCCCTTGAGAACAGAGAGGCCTGAGCAGAGGGATCAAAGCATCTGAATTAAAAATGACTTGGAAATTGAATGAATATGGAATTAGGAGGTGAAAGGAGAATCAAAGGTGACTGGATCTTTGACCTTGGTTGATAAAAGGCATTTATTCTACTAATTCAACTAGATTCGGTTAGAAGAAGAATGTATTTTAAAGGAAGAAAATAAGGTGCATAAGTTTTAGTTGTGTGCATAGTTAATATCAGGAAGAAAATGGTTCTTTTCATATACCTTTTTAATGTTGACCTTTTTTGGTGAAAATTTAATCTAACTATATTATATACTACTAAGAAAACGAGTTAATGTTCATATCTTTTGCTAACTCTTTGAGTTGTCTGCTAGGGTCTATGTGTTCTGCAAGCCTGTGCTTGATCTATATTAGTCATATGGGCAATGTTGAGCTAGATATTCCTGGATGATCAATATGGTGAATTTTTCTCTTTTCCTTTTATAAATAGAACTCTCAAACTATTCTTTCTCTGAGTCCCAAATTCCTTAATCCTTTGCAAGAGATGGTTCCATAACTCATCTTGAAAATAGATGCTTATTAAGTTGTAGGAAAGAAAAAAATAGGTCAATGGGGATAACTAATAGGTGAGGCATGCAGCATGAGAGAAAGGCATTTACTCATGATTTTCTTCTTCACCCACTCCAAACTGGGCAACCCTATGCCAAGTTTATAGGAACATGAACTTTGCATTCAGATTTGAGTTAAAATGGAAACTACCATTGCTAGCCATGTGGCCTGAAGTCAGCCATTGAACTTCTGTGAGTCTGTTTTTTAAAAAATCTATAACAAGGAACAAAAGGTGAGTTTCCTGAGTTGCTGTGAAGCTTCATTTAGAGGAGGCAAATAAGGCTTCTGTTGTTCTGCTCGGCATAGGTGGTGGTCATGTACGTAACAGGCCCTTGTGTTCTTTTCTCTATAGGTTTTATAGAGACAATGCTGCTTGGAAAGGAAATAAATTATAAATGTATAAATTTGGTGTTGTTAATAAGATGACTAATGTGCATTTGTATAGCAAGTTGCCTTTTTCTTAAGACACAGGAAAACAGCATAAATGTTTTTATATTATTCAGGAGATTGTAAATCCGTGGATTATTAAAGGTTAATAAGAAATGTAAAGGTCAGACAATCCAAACACCACTAGGATGTTTGGCAATATGTTGAAAGGAAAAACTTCCTACAGGTTTATGGGAAGCTGAGTTTTACATTTCAGGGACTAATAAGGGATACTTTTTAAAAATTTAATTTAGTAACCAAGTTGTTAGTTGTAGTTCTTTAGAGAAATGGCCTCTAGCCATTGGTTTCTTTATTGGAAATAGATTTGCTTCCTAATAACAAGTACATGTGTGGGGGGTATCTTTTTGTTTATGTTGTTTGTTATGTAGTTAATTACCATGAAAGTGACACTGGACATATTCAGTCTACTAGAAGAGATAAGATACAGTTATTGTCCAGTATGGGCTCAGATACTAGAATCATTTAAGTTCATTAATTTGACTGGCTAGGGCCATGGTTCTGTTTGACCCATGGGATGTTTACCTACCATTACCTAGTTCCCTATTCCCAGAGTTTTTGGCCACTGTGAAGACTTACCTACTGTAGGGTGTGATCCTTAAGAAGTCAGTAAAGTTCCAATCTTGAAACCAAGGTCAATTCTAAATATTTTGTATGAAGTCCTCTAGTTTAATTATTTATTCAAGGTCATAGCTATATGACTAAAACTCTTTTATGGATATAAAACTGATTTTTAAAAATTATGCAAATTATGTTTTCATGTTGTTTATTTCTCTTGTATTCAGTGTGAAATTTTTGCTTGGACTGTATTGTGTTGATTCAGATACTGACATTTAAAAAGCCAAATCTAGAGAAATGGAACTTTTGGATAAATTTCTGAGTAATAAGTGGGATGATGGTATCTATAATGTTGTTATGACTTTAAAATACCATTTAGGATAATAACCTCCTGGCTTATGAGTAATGATGGGTGAGTTTCCTATGCCCACACTTTTCAGAGTAAGTTTTCATTCTTTTTTCATGTTTCCCATGTCATTAGCTGTGAGAAGTTGTACTTTCCAAAGACATGATTTATTTATCGTCTTGAACAGACTTTCTAATTTAGTTTTCCATCTTTCATATTCACATTTTGGATTGGAGGTGTGTATGAAAAATGTATTGGTCACATTAAAAATCTATTTAAAAGAAAACCTTAATTATTCATGACATCACCCAGACCTGTTAACCTTTTTATATTGCTGGTTCTAAAAGATCTTGGGTCACTGAGTTGCTCAAGGTAGTGATGATATTTGAAATTGACTGTACACCAGGTAATTTATAAGAATGTTTATCTTTGAAGGTCCCCACTACCCCCAACTGAGTTGGATCCTAGGATTGGTTTTACACTATTCTTAGGAGGATGCCCAGCTAATTTTTAAGTGTACTTATTTAGTATAGTTTTTAAAAAGACTTATTTATTTATGCATACAGAACTGGGGTACAGGCCAGAGGTTCAGGGGTGGTGAGAGGAGTTACCACAGTCAGAGTGGGGAACAGAACAGGCAGATTGACAAAGCACACTGCTGAGGGGAGCAGTGTGTGCGTCTGTAGATGTCTGCTGCACCAGGGTCACCTCCCTGGCTGGGGACTTGGGGATTGAACTCGCACTGAAGTGGCTGCTGCCAGCTTCATAGCAGTGCTCCTTAATTCATTGCACCACCAGGGAGGGCCCTATTTAGTATCTTTTACACTATGTGTGTCACCGAGTATGTATGGCATGGACCATGTGTGACAAAATAATGGGGATGTTGAGTTTTGACTTCATATCTATTCATAGATGCCTCAATATGTAGAGCAGGTTCTTTTCATAGAGACTGAATGTACGGATCTTAGTAGCTCCTTCTTAGTGAAGGAGATAGTAAGACCCTGATTTTATAGAGGAGAAAACTAAAATAGGTAAATTGCTTAAAGGTAAATTACTCATCGTTTTCCCAGTGAAGCTATGATTGTGCCCAGGTAGCTTGACCTCTGTCTGTGACCTTTGTACCACCACGCTGTCCACCACAAACTATCATTATCACTTCACTGAGACTCAACAGCCATAGTGGAAGTAAAATAAATGCAAACACTGTGCAGCACACTTTGGGTTTTCATGTTTATTTATGGAGATTTGACTTGGGCTGACTTTAGACATTTGTATTGCTAAAGCTCCCTTTTACTCGTTACTGCTCTGTACTTTGGCTGAAGACTTTCTGAAATGTTTACTTTCTTATATAACTGGACCTTCTTTTGAGTAAGTGTAGCTTGCTTTCTGGCTTGAGTTCTCTGAGTGGTGTTAATAATGTCTCTTGATACATTTCTAACTTGACTGGTGCTTTTATTTGATAGAACTTGGGACAATTAAATGGCAGGTAGACAGAGAAAATTGTAGCTTACCTTGGGTCGAGGCAGTACAGTGTAGTAATGCAGCAAGCCAAGAGCTCTGGGTACCTGCTTCAGATCTCACACTTGCTGCTTTGGCTCGTGGCTAAGGACTCCAGCCTCCTGGCTCTGTTCCTTATTTTGTCTTTTTCCTTTCCTCTGTCCTTCCCATTTATAAAATACTTCTTGCACAGAGAGAATATATTCAGTGTCCATGTAAGGTAGAAAGGAACATAATAAAATGAATCCTATGTCCCCACCAGCAACTTAATAAATAAAATATTACATTGGCTTCATTTTATGTTCTGAGAAGAAAGGGTATCAGATCACAGCTTCATTCCATAACTTTTTTATTTTTTTAGACTTTAGTACATTGATGTCAAAATAACATAGTGAGACTTTATGCATGTTAAGGGTCTTTTGAAATTTATGGAAATATTTTAAACTGTGCTAAGCAATCTAACTTGGATAGAGATTAAATCCCATGTAGTCAGGTATCAGAAGGAAAAATTTTAGCTTTTGTGATTCAGCAGTTAAAGTGTCTTAGTTTGGTGTCCTGTTTTGCTGACTCATAAATAATATTTAAAATATTTGTACAGTTATAATTTTTTCAGTACTGATTGCAAACTATACAAGTAGTGGATC